TAGATTCAGACTAGACATCAGGAGGTGCTACTTCACTGTCACGGCAGCTAGGATCTGGAACCAACTTCCAAGCGAAGTGGTGCTGGCTCCTATCCTGTGGGTCTTTAAGAGGAGGCTAGATGTACACCTTGCTGGGGTCATTTGACCCCAGTACTTTTTCCTGCCATAGTTGGTAGGGTCAGACTTGATGATCTGCTCAGGTCCCTTCCGACCCTACCAACTATGAAACTATGAAACTATACCTGTAGCACAGCAAGGCCATAACTAAAAGTAGAGATAAAGCTACAGATACCTGATCTGTAACAGTAGGTGGGGGGATGGTTAGGTGGAATTATTTAATTACAAGAAAACATAATTAAAAGTAATGACATGAAATTAAGAAAAGGAAATTGCATCTATCAGGAAAAACATCTGCCAATCTGAACCATTAAGATGTATAGGAGTCAAGCAAGGGAAATGATGGGAATCCCAGTCACATGGACTTTTAAAAGAGAATGGAGTAAATGCTAAAACATTCTGTAAAAACAATCCTCTATTTATTGGTCGAGGGTCAGAATTCAGTCTGGTCATAGTCGTTGGGATAGTGCAGTTAAGGTATAACAGCTCCGTATACTAATATATCTTAACACTGGTAATTCTATGACTTTCTAACTTTGGTGCTAGCATTCGTCTATATTTTGAACAGATCTTCAGAACCCTGACTTCTGTCTCACACACACATGCACAATACCTATACGTGTACAGTATGCACACTGCAGATGAGGATTTCCAAGATACCTGGGGAATTTAACATGCTTCTTAACACTTCTGAGGATTAGATATCTAACTCTGGCTTCAGAAATATTTGCTGTTAGGTATTATGGAATGGTCAGAATTAAAGCTGTTTAGTGAAGGGTTCTGGTAGCACTTCTTCCCTGGAGCATTACCAGAAAAGCAACACACTAAGGGACACACATGTCTACACTTTTGTGGCCACCTGTCCCGCCCAGGATGGCCTCAGTACTTATGCCACATAGATCCTCTAAACCTGGAAATATGTTAGTGAGGCTGCTTTGGGGTTGTCTCCAATGGCTACTGTCAAGCACACCAGAAACCAGGATCTGAAGAGCAGTGACAGAAGAGCACTTAAGAGTATCTTCACTAGGGCTGTGCGAAGCTTCAGTTGCTGATTTGATTCTAAGGAGATTCGGTACCCAAATCTCTGAATCCAAATTGAATCGGGAGACCAATAAAAAAGGTCTGAATCAATTCAAAGCCGCTGAGTCTATTTGGAAAAGATTCGGAGTTTCAGAGATTTGGGCTCATCACCACAAGGAGCTGGACCCGGGCTCTATGCCAGTAAGTGGGGGAGGAGGGAGGAGGGGACCATGGGGGGACCTCCACCTGGCTCCATCCCCCTGAGCGCCCCCAACCACCACCTCTGAATCTGAAGCAAATACTAGGCACTTCACACAAGCTTAATCTTCATCAGCACTAACATTTTCAATACCACTTTTCCTTTTTAGACATCTTCATGTCCCTGCTAATCACTTCATCCCCACAAGGCACTGGTGGGTCCCTTATGTTCCTGAATCCTATTAATTTTGTTTTGCCTATTTTTATACCTACTTACTCACACTCAATCTTGCTCATGGACTGACTTACTCCTTTTCTTCCTAACCTGTCCCTTGGCTTCCCAGAATCTGTTCTGAACACAGGTCAGTGATGTTGGCTGGCATCACTGGAGAGCAAAGCTGGCTAACAATTTGGACCAGTTCCAGTGGGCAGTGAACTTAATTAGGTTATTGTAAATAAGGGGCATAATTCTGTGTGTTCAATTGTTAGCTTCTGAGATTGAGGGCCCCTGTGTAACAATTTAATTGTATCAAGGTATTTGTGTCATGTAGAATTTGTAGGGAATGCGATGGTGTTTAGCTTTAGAATCCAGAAAGAGAGAGAGAGAAAAAGAAAAAAAACTAGAAAAGGAGAAATTTCTAAATATTTCCTTTGCAAATATTGCCAAAATTTACATAAAACACGTACTTTCCTCTGGAGAGTTATTGTGCTGAATTTAGAAACTAAATTCAGTCACTGACTGTGAGAGGTTTTGTTTTTGCATCAAAGGCAAAAATCAGTGTTTTCTTTAGTATGGAATCACTGCTGCTGATGCCTATATAACATAAGAGATAACATTACTCTCAAGTTATTTATTCTCTGTTGTTGTCTATGTACCATAAACTTCATACCACAAATAGTATGATAGAGCATGCATACGAATGTGTGTGTGTGGGTCTAAACACACACATAGATGTAGATATTTATATATTATTTTACAATTCACCCATTTTGTGATAACCTTTCTGTTATTACAAACCTTTTACTGACTTTCTGTAAATAA